TAAACTTGTGCTAGGCACATAGGGTTAGTAAAGGTACCAGAAGAGATTTCTTCTCCCTTGCGTTACCTTTGCAACAAGTACAACGGCAACAAGTCGTAACCTTTGTAAGAATCGAATTGTTACTGTAATAACAAGAATAATTATATTTCCCTCCAGTCCATGAGAAATTTTAGTCGACGATCAAATACCCATGAAAAATGACTCATGTAAAGTTTCAAGAAATGAAACCGAAACTCTATTCTTCAAATCATCACGACAGATGAAAGTGGTCTCATAAAATTTGTACTCTAGACATGAAGTGAACTCACCTGCAATGACTCTAAATAATAATGATCACGCCACCAAACACACATTCAGACTAAAGGAACCAGCCTCTTTGGAAAATGTAAGAAGTAGAAAGTACAGGTATTTGTGTTCAACATGTAAGAAGTAGAAAGTACAGGTATTTGTGTTCAACATGTAAGAAGTAGAAAGTACAGGTATTTGTGTTATAAATGTGAGAAGTAGAAAGTACAGGTATTTGAGTTCAACATGTAAGAAGTCAAAGTAAAAAGTAGTCAGGAAAATAAGTAGTGGAGTAAAATACTGATACCAGAAAAATGTACTGAAGTACAGTAACGAAGTATTTGTACTCCAATACTTCCCAGCTCTGCAAATGAACTTCTAATATTCTCACTTTCTGCCCCATAGAGTGTGTGAAGTCACAGTCCAGTGTAATACCACCTCTATCCACCAGATGGAGCTCTGTAATGACTATTTTCCATCTGGTCATGACAAATGTGTACACATCTGTTTCACTGTGGTGACAGAGTAATGTGAAACTCTGTGAAACGGACTCAAAATGTCAAATTAAGCTTTAAATCTCCAAACATTTACATGGTCTGCTCCTGATTTAATTACTTTGACTATCCCCAACTTTATACACTTTCACATTAGTTCATTATAAAAACTCATTCACTTATAAACACTTGTGTTTGTTTGTAGGATCTCTCTGTCTGAAGCTCACTGTAAGCTGAGTCTCAGACCTAGAGTTGAGGAAGAAGACGCTGTGATCGCCGTGCTGCTCTGTGAGAACTCAGTCACTCTCAAACACGGTACCTTTCTTATTAAAACGTCTCTTTTCAGAGTCATTGTGCACAGTACATTCAAACCTTTATGCGCACATGTACAGACAAGGTGCACAATAGGGGGCTATAGCTCGTTTAGATATATGAAACTGGCTCAAAAAGCGTCTCTTCACGACACGTTCGAAATGTTTAAATTTGCTCATATTTGACATCGCTATTAAATTCATTTTTGTATATTGTTTGTTTTCTGTAAAATAGTGAATTCAACCACTTATTTAGAGGCTTGAAATGGGGTTTCTGCTTCAGTCTTGCCTGCATATCAGTTATCTGTTTTCTTTCATGTTATCATAAACATTTTAAAATTTAGGAAAAGGCACATTACACAAGATTGTATAAGTGTGCACTCCTTATCACCTTCGTAACACTAAAAACTATGAATTCAGAATTACCCTAGCTCACTGACACATCCCATGGTGTCTTGATGTTTTTCTGCCAACATTATACATTTGAACTTGTTCATAAATATGTTATATGCAAAGACACTGGCCTGTATATTTTATTTAATCGCCTTAGTAATACCAGAAGTATATGAATTGAGAAACACCTTAGTTCACCGTGACTTTTATCTTTATCAATTTTAACCAATTCATAAATATGGTATATGCATAAAGATACTGTAAATACAGCTTTCCCCATCACTCTATTAAGCACCAGGGGTTTCAAACTCAATATTTCATTTGATGTGGCCCGTCAGTTTGAAAAGAATGAGTATATTATATTCCGCTTTATAGAAGCACATTGCCCATATACTACATGTCCCACAATGCATCTCATTTTGTGACATGCACACTGAAGAGACTTGCAGTTATTTGCCCTTCTGCTTTCAGACATGAAGTGATTACCCTATCCCATAATAATCCAATGCAGAGGCAATCATGTCATATAATACATTTTATATATATATTTTTTTAGATTGTGTTAAAGTTACAACCGGCGCTTTGAGTGCGGCCATGCGGATGTTGCCCCGCGATGAAATTGAGTTTGACCCCCCTTAATTTATTGATAAATACCATTGTGTCTTATATTTTATGCCAACGTTATACATTTTAACCCACGTATGCATAGACACAGTAAAAACAGCTTTTCACATTATTCTGCTGCATTTTTTCTCCTGACCCTGCAATTGTTTTTAAGCACCATAGGGCCTAAACAAACTATTCATCTAATAAAGTATATATTCATCTTTCCTCCAGGAGCCTCAGCGCTCATTATTCCCCCAGAATCTGTGTTTCCCTGCGACCTGAAAGACGTGGACGGTTTGCAGCGGAGAGACGACATCCTGGAGGATCTGCAGCAGAACATCCTGAGATTTATTTACACCTACGCACCTGGAGCTGGATCCTACATCACAGAGGAGTAAAACCTCCAATCCAGAGGGTCAGAGCACAGGTAGGGAGATCATAATGAACTTTAATATGTACGTCAAGTCATAGTAAGACGCCGTACATCCAAAACACATTCAGGGAAACACCTAATTTACAGGTACGTTGACTAGTTTTGTCTGCATTTAAAGATATGTGTTTTTGTTCAACGGTATTCATTTACTATTGAAAATACAGAAACATTGTACGGGTTGAGAGGAGCATGTGCTGGAAGTTTCTCCTGTCCGTAACATGTACCCTTCGTAGGGTTTGACTGGATCTTAACTATACATTGTCAGGCCTGACTGGCACCCAGTAACTAGAGCCGAACCGCTTCATAAAAGTGGCACCCCAGATGGGACCCCAAAAAAGAAAACACACGTTGGACATCTCTAAGAAGGGATAAAGACAATCTTTATTAATGGAAACACAAATTAACTGTTGACCAATGGCTTCGGAGAGGGACAGGATTATCGGGGAGAATTTGGATCTCTCAGGAAACGCTGCCCTCTGGGGATGATGGAGCGCAGCCACAATACTAATAACATCTTCCGATCAGCATCTTCACCACTTCTGGAGCATCTGAAGGAGAAACAGGACTTTATTAATATCCACACATTTGATCGATAAGGTGTGATTGAGTTCATGAAGCTGGAGATTCAGTTGGTCACAGTGTCACCATCTTGGTGTCTGATGGGTAAACGGCATGTTTGTAAGAAATCATCACTTCTCCAGCTGCTATAGCTCAACTTAAGAAATAAGTACATTTGACTTGAATAAATTAATGCTATTTAAATAGCCAGAGTTGGAAATGCTTAGACTAGAAGTTTAGTTCAAACTAGGGCTGCTCAATTAATCGTATTTTAATTGCAATTACGGCTTGCAACGATACGAAAACGTAATAAAACGATTATTTTTGTATTAATGGTTTTTCATTTGAATTATGCTTAAAGTTCAGGGTAATCAACCGTCAAAAACACTGTTCAAAAAGATTTTATCCAATAAATTGATGTTTCAAAGTAAATGGATAATCGTGATATCAATTATTGCCCCAAATAATCGAGATTATGATTTGACATAATAGAGCAGCCCTAGTTCAAATTAATCAAAACTATTGGAGAAGCTCCAGATGATTTGTGAACTCACCTCCTGATCAGCAGACGGAGGATTGACAGAAGCTCGACATCTGAAGGAGAAACAAGACTGAGATTAATAACAAAACAAAGCTCTAACGTCCTACATGAGTTCATGAAGCTGGAGATTCAGTTGGTCACAGTGTCACCATCTTGGTGTCTGATGGGTAAACGGCATGTTTGTAGAAATCATCACTTCTCCAGCACTAAGAGTTGCTATAGCTCAACTTAAGAAATAAGTACTTTAGACTTGCATACGTTTATACCATTTTAATAACCAGGGTTAGAAATAATTACCTTAAACTAGGAAGTCTATCAAATGAAAGAAAACTTTGAACTCACCTGCTGATCAGGTGCTTTTCTCAGAAGCTTCAGAAGTCGTCCTGAGGAGAAACAAGACCGAGATCAATATCCACTAAATAGATTTAATGTCCTGATTTCTGTTTGCATGCTGGAGATTCAGTTGGTCACAGTGTCACCATCTTAGTGTCTGATGGGTAAACGGCATGTTTGTAGAAATCATCACTTCTCCAGCTGCTATAGCTCAACATAAGGCGAGACACGGCAGGCAAAAACATCGTTTTTCAAGCACTGGTCAATTTTGAGATTTTGATTCTATAACATGTTTTCTTTCAGGCTTTTGGAAAACGTACAAAATGCACATTTAGGTGTTTATTTTACTATAGTTTGTCTATTCCCGTCTGTATATTTCTCCTAAATTCACCAAAAGTTAGCATTCTAACGTAACACAAAGTACCGCGACCGCTGTTTGCACCATGTCATCAGAGGTATCGTTGGAAAGCTCCGTCTCTCCCGCACAATCTCATCGGATCCAAATATGGTCATTTCCTTTGCATCAGCAAACAATCGTGAAAGTACAATGGGGTCTTAAACCAAAAAACGAAATCTCATTGGCTGGTGTCAACTTCTGACAACCTGATTCGTTCAGATGCGTCACGTGGTGTCCTAAAACACTTCCTGGTTAGCTTTCGCTGGAAATTTAAATCTCAAAATGGCAAAAGAACGGCAAAAAAAACATTCACAGAGAAGACGACAACAATTGTCCCTTGCACCAAGCAAGATTATACAAAAAACAAATGACCCCGAACATGAAGTACCTTCACGGAGTGCGTCGAGGCGAAAGCTGTCATTCAAAGAACAGGAGGGTTTAGCTAGCGCCTCGCTGCAATCTTTAAAGGTTGTTTTCTCAAAATGAGTTTTTTCTCCAACATTTCAACTTCAGTAGCACGTAGATACACCAAACCTTCCAGTTATATTCCTATCAATATTCTGAAGGCTTTTACAGAAGGGTTTGTTCATATGTCATTCATATCCTGAATTATACAACATTGGTATAACCTAAAAACATGGCAAAATTGATATCTTTCAGGGTATATGCAGGGAATCTCTGAGGTCAAATCTTAAGACCTTTTTTAAAGACACTTTCCATACATTTTAAGACCTCATCGCAACTTTGAGTTCTAACCGGTTACATTGGCAACACATTTACCGTCACATTTACTATATTGATTGTAAGATAAGCAACGAAAACTAAACAGAGTGCAGACAGATCATACTGAAGCCTCCTCTCCACATGGAACGTCAAACCTCCTGTGAAGGTCAGGTTTAATTGGCAGTATGGCTGCTTTGTTGATTCTGTACCATGTGTTCTTTCATTTCCAGTAAAATCCTCAGAAACCATTAGAAACAGTAATTTGACCAATAAACCAAAAACAAATTGCAAAACTTGAACTAGAAATATGTTAAACTTGGTGAGCCTTTCAGCGGGTCAATGCCAATAGGAGCTCCCTCACAAATACCCAGCGGTTAAATTGGGGCTGGGGCTGTCACGGGGCTAAGCCCTGCAAACATAGGACGCATGCCTCTGACGTCATCACCCTCACACCATTTGTCATGAGTGTTTACAAAAAACGATATCATGCTTAAAAGGTCACATGTCATGCTTTTCCGGTTATTACCCCGCCCCCTTGTGTGTTAATGAAGGGTTTTTCTGCGCATGTAAAAAAACGGTCTGCAGAGTCAAAAACCTCAAAGTACACCCTGTAAGCGAGTAACCACATTCTAAAACAGAAAATACCTCCCCAAACGCCTCGTTGGTGAAACGTCCATCATGGACGTCCATCATCCAGTTTGATTCTTCCGGGTACGTGCCTTTCGTAAGCACGTACCCGGAACTAAACCTGGGCCCCAATCCCAGCGGAGCCGTTAACGTTAAGCCCCCACTGATTGGTCCCAAATTGACCAATCAACACACACAAACACACACTCAGTGCAGGCAGCTCTGCTGATCTCTGCTCCGTGCGCAGGCTGATAACAGACAGTTGGGATCGCGCGAAATTCCTCTCTGCAGACCCATTCTCACAGCGCGTCTATCACCTACCTATAAGAGCAAGCCATTAGTTTATTCTGACTGCAGGTTGAGTTTGGTATACAAGACAGTACGAGTACGTGGAGAAGTATTACTGCTGAATACACAATACTTTACAGAAGATGCTGTATGCGAAACCAACGTGAGTTTGGAAAATTGCACCGTATTTTTTATTTTAGTATACCTCAACAATGAAACTATGATCAGTGGAAATGGCCAATGACATGTGTCCTTATTAGGGTCGATTGACCACCTTGTGTTGACTATTTACTTATATAAAAATAGCAGAATCTCTGTGAGACCGGATATATTTTTGGCTTAGACGAGGACCATACGGTAAAACAGGCATACGAAAAAGGTCCTATCCGTTCACACGCATATTGAATTCATTAACGTGTACGTTCACACTAGACCGCTGGAAACCCAAGCTGTAGAGTACATTGCAGAGACACACCGCGGACCACCCCTGATTTTAGGGGCTGTCGACAGTATTTTTTCTGATTTTTATGGAGTAAAAGAGATATCCAATATCCCTTCTGTAAAAGCCTTAGATACTAAATGACTACAGAAATGAAAAAAAAGAATTTTTGAACCATGGCTTTACCAAAGTCAATTTTCGATTTCTGAAATGTGTTAAAAATATGCGCATATTAAATGAGAATCATGCTAATTTGCATATTTAAATTTTAAACATGCTATTTCAGAAAACACTTGTAATACAAAAAACAATTGCCTTATTGTAAGTAATAACTGGAGAAATTCTAGCTGATACCTTTAGGTAAAAAAATGTACCCTATTCACCTGTGGGTGCTCGCCTATAAGGAATAAGGACGTTTGACTTCAAAGCCCTTTTCCAACCTGGTTATTAAATATGCTGTGAACTGAGCTTCCCTTAGTCTATTAACAAAACTATTGGAGAAGCTCCAGATTATTGTGAAACTCAACCTCCTGATCAGCAGACGGAGATTGACAAAGCTCGACATCTGAAGGAGAAACAAGACCTGAGATTAATAACAAACAAGCCTCCAGTCCTACAGTGAGTTCATGAAGCTGAGATTAGTGGTCACAGGTGTCACCATCATCTGGTGTCTGATGGGTAAACGGCATGTTTGTATAAATCATTCACTTCTCCAGCTGCAGAAATGACTTGACAGAAAACATTTGAGTAAGCTCTGCAATCATTTATGAACCACCTCATGATCAGTGCGTTGGTTTTCATGACGAGACAACTGCTGAAGCTGCTGGAAGGAGAACAAGACTTCTATTATAACAATGCACTCTCTCCACAGTCCTACATGAGTTCATGAGCTGGAGATTCAGGTTAGTCCCCACAGTGATCACCATCTTGGTGTCTGTATGGGTAACGGCATGTTGTAAGAAATCATACACTTCTCCAGCTGCCTATAGCCTCAACTTAAAGATAAAGTTAACATTGACTGCATACATTTAACAACCAGGGTTTGGAAATGCTTCGCTAGGAAGTTGCAGTTCAAATAAACAGAAACTATTGCAGAAGCTCCAGATATTTGTGAACTCACCTCCTGAGTCCAGCAGACGGAGGATTTGACCAGAAGCTCGACATCTGAAGGAGAAACAAGATGAGATTAATAACAAAACACATTTGTCCTAAAACACGTGC